AAACTATAGGAGTACTGAACTCGGCCCATAACTCGTAATTTTTGAAGACTAAACATAGCGACTGATTAAACTATACGCATGACCATGAAAAAGCGATGAATAAAAGCGTTGACCATAAAGATTACGTAGTTCTAAGACTAAAATAAGAAAGAAACGAGACTACTGAGTAAGAAAAACGTCAGACTACCTTTCTCCGGAAGGCGTTGAATGAGGCCCTGCATCGGAAACAACAATCACCGTCTTTCCAACCTGGTGCCACCTCGGCAGCAAACATAGCTTCACTCTCCCGGAAAGGCGGCAGCGTAGCACCCGATCTTTTTATTTCCGCAAATGCGTTATGAAGGCTGTGGTAGCTCGGGTTCTTCTGGAAAGCGTACTCCCAGTTTTGAATTAGCCCCAAAACCTTTGCCCGGATCTCTTCGGTTGACTACAAAAACTATAATTCAAAGAATTTCCTACATACATGTAAGTAATCGAGAAGACTCATGACGAAATCCGTGCCACAAACTTCATCATGCATAGGTGTGCCACAGTTCTTCATTAGAGATTCTAACAACTGATTTATGAGAGTTTAACAAAAGGGCAAACATACTGACAGCGAAAGCATGCAAACGTGAGGATTATCGGTGTTCAGTTTCTTTCGCAGCAACGAAATGGCATACTTTGGACTTAAAGCAAATTAAAGTAGATTAAGTTCTTACGTTACTTCCTGTCCTCGAACGATATCACAAACCTGAAGGTTTACTTCCCAGTCTGGCTCCATAAGGAGCTCACTGGTCGCCTTATCTTAAAAAAACGTGTAAAGCTTCTATCTTAACTTACCTAAGGCCTTATCAAAGCGAGAATTCTTGAAGGAAAACATCTCTGGAATAGACGCAAATGAAAAATGCCTCCTAACTAACCTAATGTATTTGGTTAATTAAAAGCATATAGTTCAAGGCATATCAATTGAAGCTCCTTTGGTAGCGCGAGAACCCATGTGAAATTCCAGTTGTTTTCAATTCAGAACGGAGGATGAGGGATATTACAGCTAACGCCCATGCGGAACACACTGATAGTTTGGGCAAACACAAAAAGTCGCCTATGGATATCTATTATTAGCCAAATTACGGTGGAGTCTCGAGTGATAAGCAATCGAATCTACGTGTATTTCGGATAATGAGCGAGCCGCTCGCAGAATTTTTTCGATTTACGAGCTTTAGCTCAGGTAATGAGTTACCAGTGCCTGTGTGTGTGAGAGAGGAAAACTTGTGAGGAAACCATCAAGGCTGTGCAACAACTATCCAGCGGGAAGGCACCCGGATCCGACAGGATCCCTGCGGAGATCTATAAATACGGTGATCACCAAATCATAACTCACTTCACCATCCTGTTCCAAGAGATGTGGCGACAGGGACAAGTTCCCCAGGATTTCAAGGACGCCACAATTGTCCACCTTCACAAGCGAAGGCGGAACCGTCAAGTCGGGCGACAACCATCGCGGAATCTCACTGCTGAATATTGCCGGTAAAATTTTTGCTCGCATTCTTCTCAATCGTCTCAGTAACCATCTGGAACAAGGGCCTCTGCCTGAAAGCCAGTGCGGTTTTCGACGCCAGCGCGGCACCAGTGACATGATATTTGCCGCACGTCAGCTGCAGGAGAAATGTCAGGAGATGCGG